GTGAAAACTGCAGTTTTCACCCATTTGATAGAGAGGACCTATACAATTTTTTCTTTTTGATTTTTTACCTGGATTACTGAGATGCATCCGGACATATTGTTAAACTTTTTTATAGGAAATTAATCTCACAATAAGCTGTACATTAGTGATTTATCTGTAAATAAATAAACTAGTTTATTTTAGATCAACCTAAACTCTCTAAGTATGCTCATCTTATTGTGTTTGGACCATTCATTTTTGTATAAAGAAGATATTACCGAAAATAAGAAGAACCCGTGAATTTTCTTATAATTTTTATTATAAGAAGGTGTAGTATAAATCAGTACACGGTCATTATATGTATTTTGATACTGCGGTATAACAAAATATTTTAAGAACGCCTAAGCCTAGTTTATACTTTAGTACGACAAGACAACAGATCAGTGATTACATCACTTCAGACATCTTTTTCTGACAGAGTAAAAATGGGTTGTGATGGGGGATAATCTTTTCTCCCTGTGCCCTCCCACAGCACTCCCAATTAGAGATGGATGAATACAGGTTTTTTAGGCAGATGCTGATGACTTTGACATCAGTCTAACCAATCCCTGATATGTGCCTGCTGACTTTTTTTGGGCTGATTCTTGAAGCTGATATTGCATTTTCTTCTTCCATTTACTCRCAGTGARACAGAGACAGACATTCAATGGGTTGATACAGCTAAATTAGACAGTTAAAAATRCATTAAAAGTTGAAAACTTACCCTTGTTGGCACTCAGTCTTACAACATTACCAGCTGCTCTCTGCCTGGGAGTGAGAAACAATGCATGCAAAAGGCATGGCTGCTAAATGTCTTAATGCATCGGCAAATGYATGCACATATTGGCTGATACGCCAAAAAAAAAATAGGCCGACCAATGTATTCGTCGACTACCAGTGAGGTGCGGTGAGGTTCGTAGATGGTGAGGCACTCAGTTCATCAGAATCACATTTACAAGTATATGGACCCTACAGAACAACTTATTCACCACATGACTGGCTGAGGTTAATGAGTTATGTTTCAAATCTCATATCAGTGTTTTTTACACAAACTGCAGCTCATTTGATGAACATTTCATTAAAACAAATGTTATTATGTCCTACCTATACGTTAACTTAGGTCCATACATCTTCAGATCCMATCTGAGTCCACATACTGTCATAAGTAGAAAAACAGCAGGGTGAAAAAGTTTCCCTCAGGACGTTCACACAGCCACTCTTTTGTCTCAGGTGTGGTTCTTATTTACCTGCTGCTTCCAAGTCCAGTTTAGAAAATAGTTTGAGCTTTAAAATATATCAGGGATAGACATAAGGATTTTTTTCAGGTTGTCCAGCGGACAACATGTTGACAGAATCTGGTTGTCCGCAAAACATTTTGGTTTTCCAAATTAATCTCAAGAAAAATGTAATTTAATAAGTTGGCTATACTGTTCTTTTATATAAAATTTACTATATATAAATGTTCTGTCGGCAGGTTGACAGTTTCTGGTGCTGCTTGAGTAAAACATCCTTGTTCTATTCTTATTGGAAATAGAGAGCAAAAATATTGCAACTAAAGCTGTTCTACACTTAGACATTACCCAACTGACCTGTTTGACCCGTAAGCTTTCTGCTTACAGGTCCTCCTCAACTTGAACATTTAATTCTCAGGCATTTTTTTCCTTTTCAACTCAAATAAAACAAAGATAAATATGTTGCCTTGAAATTGAGTAAGTAATGAAATAAATAAATACAAAAATAACAAACTTGCAACCTGCAAAATTCATTGGGACATACAGCGGGTAAAATAAGTATTGAACACGTCACCATTTTTCTCAGTAAATATATTACTAGAGGTGCTAATGAC